TACATTCTAATTCATTGTTTTGTTAGTATCTCGCGCACACTTAAGACTACATTTCCCAATCTTTTGTTTCGTTAATATCTGGCGCTTAGTTAGGATTACATTTAAATCTTATGTTACGTTAGTATCTCGCCCTGACTTAGGATTACATTTTGATCTATTGTTTAATTACTATCCAGCGCATAATACGTATTTCATTACCATCAATATTTTGGTTACATTTGCATCACTGAATAAAATCTCGCATTCTGATTGGTTAACGAAGTGGGGTATTGAGCGTGGAATTGCGAGTTGAAAACGAAGCTAAGTGACATTGTTACGCATCTACCTATATATAACAACTATAAGTAATATTGCTTTCTTTTCTTTTCTTCTTATTTTTATTCTATATTAAGCGACTCAAGGAAAATCCATTACTTGACTCGTGAATTTAGCGTTCAATTGCACTTGAAAACCGATATCGCACTCATCGCTTCGCGATTCACGCGATATCATACATACATTTCTTTGATAAGTAGGTTTTAAAAATATCCAACTGTACAGCTGATGTGGACCTACTTGTACTATGTACTATGTACTATGTACTATGTACTTGTACTATGTCTAAATAAGCAAAAACAGAAATTTACAATACAATTGTCATAAGGCTAAAAATGGTATACAGTAATAGTTAAAAGAGGAATCAAATAATTTTAAAATATTTAAATTCAGGGTTCTTATTATAGTTTACAGAGCATTCCTTTTGAAAGCTGTTGTCCCTGACATCACATGCGCACACCAACGATTACATTTCAATCGACTGTTTTGTTAGTATCATTGTGTGCACATAGGATTACATTTGAATCGATTGTTTTGCTACTATCTCGCGTTACTTGGGATTACATTTCCATCGTTTGTTTCGTTAGTATCTAGCACACACTTAGGATTTAATTTCAATCGATTGTTTTGTTAGTATCTTGCACACACTTAGGATTAAATTTCAATAAATTTTTTCGTTAGTATCTAGCGCCACATAGGATTACATTTGAATCATATGTTTCCTTACTATCTCGCGCACATTTAGGACCACATTTCAATTTCGTTTCGTTAGTATCTCCCACTCACATAAGATTACATTTCAATCGATTGTTTCGTTAGTATCTTGCGCACACATAGTCTTACATTTCCATTGCTTGTTTCGTTAGTGTCTAGCGAACACATAGGATTACATTTCAATCGATTGTTTTCTTAGTATCTCGCGCATTCTTCGGATTACATTTGAATCTATTGTTTGGTTACTATATAGCTCAGAATTAGAATTACATTTCAATTTATTGTTTCGTTAGTATTTTGCGCACAAGTAATCTTACATTTCCATGGCTTGTTTCGTCAGTGTCTTGCGCACACATAGGATTACATTTTAATCGATCGTTTTGTTATTATCTCGCGTGCGCTTAGGATTACATTTGAATCTATTGTTTGGTTACTATCTAGCTCACACTTAGGATTACATTTCAATTTTTTTTCGTTAGTATCTCCCACTTACATGAGATTACATGTGTATCTTGCACACACATAGTCTTACACTTCCATCGCTTGTTTCATTAGTGTCTTGCACACACATAAGATTACATTTTAATCAATTGTTTTGTTAGTATCTCGTGTGCGCTTAGGGTTACTTTCAATCGATTGTTTCGTTAGTATCTTGCGCACACATAGCATTACATCTTAATTTACAGTCTTGTTAGTATCTCGCGCACACAGCGGATTACATTTCAATCGATTGTTTCGTTGGTATCTAATAACAATAATAATAATAATTTAATTATTATATTGCGCACACTTGGAATTACATTTCGATTGCATTGTTTCGTTAGTATTTCGTGTGCACTTAGGATTACATTTCCATCGTTTGTTTTTTTAGTATCTAGTGCACGCTTAGAATTACATGTGAATCGGATTGTTTCGTTAGTATCCTAGGATTACATTTTAATCTATTGTTTGGTTACTATCTAGTGCATACGAAGGATTTTCTGTTACTCGATTGTTTTGTCTATATCTAGCTCTCAGTTACGATTATACTTGATTATTATGTTTCGTTAGTATCTCGTGCACACTCGCGATTACATTTTACTCTACTGTTTGATTACTATCCAGCGCACACTGAGCATCATGAAAAACTGTGGTTGGAAATTTTCATGGCTCTGAAAATTTATTTTATCGCCGATATGTTGATGACACTTTTTGTTTATTCACTCAGAACATGATGCCATCATATTTTTCGAATACATCAACTCTAGACACCCCAACATTAGGTTTACTATGGAGAAAGAAGCTCATCATCAGTTACCTGTTTTAGATGTTCAAGTTGACAACAATAACCCCAAATCTTTTCTAATTCGAGTTTACCGTAAGAAAACCTTTACTCGTTTATTAACTAATTATTTCAGTTTCACTTCGTACTCCTACAAAGTGGGTCTCATCAGGACTCTTGTTGACAGGGCCTATAAGATTAACAACACCTGGTTGGGGCTATACGAAGACATTACTAAGCTTATGGAAATCCTAAAAAAGAATCTTTTCCCTGCTCATTTAATTGAAAAAGTTGCAAACCGCTACATTACTGGGACCCTAAGTGATCATTGTGCCCGGGGTTCCCTCCCCACTTCACCCATATTTTACTTTAAACTACCCTACATTGGCCGTTCTTCTGTCGTCACTCCAAAAAAAAGATTCGTCACCTTATCAAACGCTATTGCAATGATTTGGATACAAACTAGTTCTTTCCTCATTTAAGATAGGCAACATGTTTGGCGTGAAGGACCCTGTCCCTGGCGGGCTTCGTTCGCGTGTGGTTTACAAGTTTGCATGTGCGGGCTGTAATGCCTGTTATGTCGGCGAAACTAACATTTTCACGCCTTGTGTTCAGTAGATTGTTTCCATATCTTAGATCACGCATCTACGAGTTTCCAACTCAAGATAAAAGAAGCTATTCACATTCAAAGAGAACAACCTTCTTTGAATCAACAATTACATCGTGTAAATCTAGAGCTATCCTTAAAATTTTCGCATTGTCACGTTTCCTGTTGTTACTAGCTTAATTCGCATGTACTTATAAATTCAACTTGTAACGCTTTGTTAATCAACTGAGTAAATTTTAATTTATTGTTTTGTCAGTATCTCACTCACACACAGGAATTCAATTGAATGTTGTTTTGTCAGTATCTCGCGCACACTTAGAATTACATTTCAATCGACTGTTTCGTTAGTATCTGGCGCACACTTAAGATCACACTGGAATAATATTAATAATAATAAAGTAGATGCTTATAGGGCGCATTTCTGATCTCAATGCGCCTAACAACAGATTATTATAAGAATAAGTAATTAATTAACAGTAATGTTTTTTAAACGAAAATGTCTTAAGCTTAGTTTTGAATGTTTCTACTGTTTCCGCTCTTTTAATATATTCGGGCATTGAGTTCCATAGTTTCGGTGCAGATACTGAAACAGCGCGTCCACCATAGGAATTGGATTTAATAGGTGGGATGCATAACTGTAAGCGAGTTGATGATCTCAGTGTTCTTGATGGGTGGTATTCTTCATGATAAGAGGTTCTAAATAACTAGTAGATTGCTCATTTAAGATCTTATAAGTTATAAGTAATATCTTAAAAATAACTCTTGCTTCGATTGGCAGCCAATGTAGGTTCTTTAAAATAGGTGTGATATGGTCAGTGTTTCGTGTTCCGGTTATCATACGAGCAGCGATATTCTGGATCCTCTGCAGTTTGTCCCTTTGATACTTTGGTATCCCATATAGAATGCTATTACAATAGTCGT